CACACACACACACACACACCACACACACACACACACACACACCACACACACACACACCCACACACACACCCACACACACAATCAGCCACACACCCACACACACACCCACACACACACCAACACACCCACACACCCACACACACCCCCATACACACACACACACACCCACACACACACACACACACACACACACCCACACACACACACCCACACACACACACCACACACACACCACACACACACACCCACACACACACACACCCACACACCACACACACACCCACACACACATACACCCACACACACACACCCACACACACACCCACACACACACCCACACACACCCCCATACACACACACACCCACACACACACGCACCCACTCACACTCCAACACACACACCCACACACAGCCCCACACCCACACACACCCACACACAGCCCCACACACACACCCACATACACACCAACACACACACACACACACACACCCCCACACACACCCACACACCCACACACACACCCACACACACACCCACCACACACACACACACACACACCCACACACACACACACTCACACCCCCATACACACACACACCCACACCCACACACACATTCACACACCCACACACACACCCACACACACACCCACACACACACAGCCCCACACACACACCCACATACACACCCACACACACACCCACGCACACACCCCCTCACCCACCCACACACACACCCACACACACACCCACACACAAACACACACACACACACCCACACACACCCCCATATACACACCCACACACACACCCAAACACAGCCCCACACACACAACCACACACACCACCACCCCCCACACACACCCACGCACACACCCCCACACACACCCACACACAGCCCCCCACACACACACACACGCACACCCACAGAAACACACCCACACACAGCCCCACACACACATCCACACACAGCCCCACACACACACCCACACACACACGCACACACAGCCCCACATACAAATCCACACCCACACACCCGCACACACCCCCACACACACCCCCACCCACATACACACCCACACACACACACACCCACATGCACACCCACACACCGACACACACACACACACATCCACAAACACACAACACACACACACCCACACACACACACACCCACACACACACCCACACACACCACCACACACAAACCCACACCCACACACACACGCACACCCAAACACACACACACATACACACACACACACCCACACACACACCCACACACACACAACCTCACCCACAACCCCACAGACCCACCTCCACCCACACACACACACACACACACCCACACACAGCCCCAAACACACATCCCCCCACACACACACCCACACACACACACACACCCACACACACCCACACACACACCCCCACACACACCCCCACCCACACATCCACCCGCACACAGCCCCACTCACACACACCCACATACACACGCACACCCAAACACACACCCACATACACACCCACACACCCTCACACACACCCACACACACACACCCTCACCCACAACCCCACACACACACAACAACACACACACACGCACACCCACACCCACACACCCACACACACACCCACACACACACCCACAAACAGCCCCACACCTATACACCCACACACACCCCCACACACACACACACCCACACACACACACACAGCCCCACACCCACACACCCACAAACACACACACACACAGCCTCACACACACACCCACACACAGCCCCCCACACACACCCACACACACACTCACACACAGCCCCACACACCCACACACAGCCCCACACACTAGACACACACCCACACACGCACCCACACACACACCCACATACACTCACACACACCCACACACACACACACACCCACACCCCCACCCCCACACACACACCCACACACACCCACACACAGCCCCACACCCACACACACACCCACACACAGCCCTACACACACACCCACACACAGCCCCACACACAAACACACAAACACCCGCACACACCCTCACACACAGCCACACACACACCCACACACACCTACACACACACACACACACAAAAACCCACACACACACCCACACACAGACACCCCAAAACACACACACGCACACAACCACACACACACCCACACACACCCACACACACACCCACACACAGCCCCACACACACACCCACACACAGCCCCACACACACCCACACACAGCCACACACAGCCACACACCCACACCCACACACACACCCCCCACACACACACACCCACACACACAGCCCCACACACACACACACACAGCCACACACAGCCACACACACACACACACACACACACACCCCCCCACACACACCCCCGCACACACACCCATACACCCACACACCCAAACACACACCCACATACACCCACACACACACACACACACCCACATCCACCCACACACACCCCCACACACACCCCCACCCACACATCCACACCCACACACCCACACACACCCCCACCCACATACACACCCACACACATCCCCGCACACACACCCACACACACACACCCACACCCATACACCCACACACCCACACACACACCCACTCACACCCACATGCACACCCACACACCCACACACACCCACATGCAGACCCACACACACCCACACACACACACCCACACACACACCCGCACACACCCCCACACACACCCCCACCCACATACACACCCACACACACCCCCGCACACACACCCACACACACACACCCATACACCCACACACCCAAACACACACCCACATACACCCACATGCACACCCACACACCCACACACACCACCACACACACATCCACACACACACCCACACACACACCCACACCTCCACAAACACCCACACACACCACCACAAACACACCCACACCCACACCCACATACACACGCACACCCACACACACACCCACACACACACCCACACACACACCCACACCCCCCCCCACACACACACACACCAACACACCCACCCCCACACACACACCCACACACATACACACACAGCCCCACACCCACACACACACCCACACACAGCCCCACACACACACCCGCACACACCCTCACACACAGCCACACACAAACCCACACACACCCACACACACACCCACACAAAAACCCCCACACACACCCACACACAGACCCCCCCCTACACACACACGCAAACACCCACACACACACCCACACACACACCACACACAGGCCCACACACACAACCACACACAGCCCCACACACACACACACGCACACACCCACACACACACGCACACACACCCACACCCACACACAGGCCCACACACACACCCACACACAGCCCCACACACACCCACATACACACCAACACACCCACCCACACACAGCCCCCCACACACACACACCTCCACACACACACACACCCACACAGACATACCCACACAACCACACACACACACACCCACACACAGACCCACACACACACCCACACACACCCACACACACCCACACACAGCCACACACAGCCACACACCCACACACACCCCCCCCCCCACACACACACACCCACACGCACAGCCCCACACACACACACCTGCACACACACACCCACACACCCACACACGCACCCACACACACACCCACACACACACACACACACCCCCACACACCCCCACACACCCCCACACACACACCCACTCACCCACACACGCACCCACACGCACCCACACACACCCACACACACGCACACCCCCACACACACACACCCACGCACACACACAGCCCCACACACCCTCACACACACCCACACACAGCCCCACCCACACACACACCCACACACACACCCACACACACACGCACACACAGCCCCACACCCACACACAAACACACACACCCACACACAGCCCCCCACACACACACCTACACACAGCCCCCCACACACACACACCCACACACACACCCACACACAGGCCCACACACCCTCACACGCACCCACACACACACACACAGCCCCACACACCCTCACACACACCCACACACACACACACTCAGAAACACACAGACACAGACAACCACACACACACCCACACACACCCCCCCACACACACACAGCCCCACACACACACCCACACAAACACTCACACACACACTCAGAAACACACAGACACAGACACTCACAGACAGACACACACACTCAGACACACATATACAGTCACACACACAGACACAAAGAAACACACACACATACACAGACACAGATGCAGACACACACGCACAGAGACACACACACAGCCACAGACACCACACAAAGACACAAACAAATACACATACACCACACAGACCCAGACACACACACAGAAACACACTCACACACAGACACACACACAGAAACACACGGACACTGACACACACAGACACACACAGATACAGACACACACATATACAGCCACATACAGACACACACACAGACAAACATACACACTGATAAAAACAATACACACTCACACACAGACAGACACACAGAGACACACACACAAATGCAGACACACACAGACACACATACACTCACAGACACACACATACAAACACTCAGACACATACACACACTCACACACAAACACGTACAAACACTCACACAAACACTCACACACACAGGCACACACATATACACACACAGACAAACACACACACAGACACACACCACACAGAAACACATACAGCCATACACACACACAGACATACGCACATACAGACACACAAACACACAGACACAGAGACACACAGGCACCCACACACACACACAGATACACACACACAGATGTACATACAGACACTCATACATACAGACACACACAAACAGTGGCAACACAAACACACATACACCGACAGACACACACACTGTGTGGAGGGCGCTATATAAGTGCAACTTGTTGTTGTTATAAGACGTGTGGGACTCTCACCTGGAGGGAGGATCACAGCTGCCAGGACTGCGGACACCGGGAGCCACAACATCTCTGGAGAGCTGTGGTGGCAGCTCCGAACCTGATCAAATCTTCCTGCTTCCTCCTCCCCAGCCAGACAGCGTGTCAGTCACTACACAGCCTGACACCTACAGCCAGACAGCGTGTCAGTCACTACACAGCCTGACACCTACAGCCAGACAGCGTGTCAGTCACTACACAGCCTGACACCTACAGCCAGACAGCGTGTCAGTCACTACACAGCCTGACACCTACAGCCAGACAGCGTGTCAGTCACTACACAGCCTGACACCTACAGCCAGACAGCGTGTCAGTCACTACACAGCCTGACACCTACAGCCAGACAGCGTGTCAGTCACTACACAGCCTGACACCTACAGCCAGACAGCGTGTCAGTCACTACACAGCCTGACACCTACAGCCAGACAGCGTGTCAGTCACTACACAGCCTGACACCTACAGCCAGACAGCGTGTCAGTCACTACACAGCCTGACACCTACAGCCAGACAGCGTGTCAGTCACTACACAGCCTGACACCTACAGCCAGACAGCGTGTCAGTCACTACACAGCCTGACACCTACAGCCAGACAGCGTGTCAGTCACTACACAGCCTGACACCTACAGCCAGACAGCGTGTCAGTCACTACACAGCCTGACACCTACAGCCAGACAGCGTGTCAGTCACTACACAGCCTGACACCTACAGCCAGACAGCGTGTCAGTCACTACACAGCCTGACACCTACAGCCAGACAGCGTGTCAGTCACTACACAGCCTGACACCTACAGCCAGACAGCGTGTCAGTCACTACACAGCCTGACACCTACAGCCAGACAGCGTGTCAGTCACTACACAGCCTGACACCTACAGCCAGACAGCGTGTCAGTCACTACACAGCCTGACACCTACAGCCAGACAGCGTGTCAGTCACTACACAGCCTGACACCTACAGCCAGACAGCGTGTCAGTCACTACACAGCCTGACACCTACAGCCAGACAGCGTGTCAGTCACTACACAGCCTGACACCTACAGCCAGACAGCGTGTCAGTCACTACACAGCCTGACACCTACAGCCAGACAGCGTGTCAGTCACTACACAGCCTGACACCTACAGCCAGACAGCGTGTCAGTCACTACACAGCCTGACACCTACAGCCAGACAGCGTGTCAGTCACTACACAGCCTGACACCTACAGCCAGACAGCGTGTCAGTCACTACACAGCCTGACACCTACAGCCAGACAGCGTGTCAGTCACTACACAGCCTGACACCTACAGCCAGACAGCGTGTCAGTCACTACACAGCCTGACACCTACAGCCAGACAGCGTGTCAGTCACTACACAGCCTGACACCTACAGCCAGACAGCGTGTCAGTCACTACACAGCCTGACACCTACAGACAGCTGTCAGTCACTACACAGCCTGACACCTACAGCCAGACAGCGTGTCAGTCACTACACAGCCTGACACCTACAGCCAGACAGCGTGTCAGTCACTACACAGCCTGACACCTACAGCCAGACAGCGTGTCAGTCACTACACAGCCTGACACCTACAGCCAGACAGCGTGTCAGTCACTACACAGCCTGACACCTACAGCCAGACAGCGTGTCAGTCACTACACAGCCTGACACCTACAGCCAGACAGCGTGTCAGTCACTACACAGCCTGACACCTACAGCCAGACAGCGTGTCAGTCACTACACAGCCTGACACCTACAGCCAGACAGCGTGTCAGTCACTACACAGCCTGACACCTACAGCCAGACAATGTGCCAGTCACTACACAGCCTGACACCTACAGCCAGACAGCGTGTCAGTCACTACACAGCCTGACACCTACAGCCAGACAGCGTGTCAGTCACTACACAGCCTGACACCTACAGCCAGACAGCGTGTCAGTCACTACACAGCCTGACACCTACAGCCAGACAGCGTGTCAGTCACTACACAGCCTGACACCTACAGCCAGACAGCGTGTCAGTCACTACACAGCCTGACACCTACAGCCAGACAGCGTGTCAGTCACTACACAGCCTGACACCTACAGCCAGACAGCGTGTCAGTCACTACACAGCCTGACACCTACAGCCAGACAGCGTGTCAGTCACTACACAGCCTGACACCTACAGCCAGACAGCGTGTCAGTCACTACACAGCCTGACACCTACAGCCAGACAGCGTGTCAGTCACTACACAGCCTGACACCTACAGCCAGACAGCGTGTCAGTCACTACACAGCCTGACACCTACAGCCAGACAGCGTGTCAGTCACTACACAGCCTGACACCTACAGCCAGACAGCGTGTCAGTCACTACACAGCCTGACACCTACAGCCAGACAGCGTGTCAGTCACTACACAGCCTGACACCTACAGCCAGACAGCGTGTCAGTCACTACACAGCCTGACACCTACAGCCAGACAGCGTGTCAGTCACTACACAGCCTGACACCTACAGCCAGACAGCGTGTCAGTCACTACACAGCCTGACACCTACAGCCAGACAGTGTGTCAGTCACTACACAGCCTGACACCTACAGCCAGACAGCGTGTCAGTCACTACACAGCCTGACACCTACAGCCAGACAGCGTGTCAGTCACTACACAGCCTGACACCTACAGCCAGACAGCGTGTCAGTCACTACACAGCCTGACACCTACAGCCAGACAGCGTGTCAGTCACTACACAGCCTGACACCTACAGCCAGACAGCGTGTCAGTCACTACACAGCCTGACACCTACAGCCAGACAGCGTGTCAGTCACTACACAGCCTGACACCTACAGCCAGACAGCGTGTCAGTCACTACACAGCCTGACACCTACAGCCAGACAGCGTGTCAGTCACTACACAGCCTGACACCTACAGCCAGACAGCGTGTCAGTCACTACACAGCCTGACACCTACAGCCAGACAGCGTGTCAGTCACTACACCGCCTGACACAGCCTCCAGCTGTGTAGCTGCTCGAGCTATCAGTCTACCTGTGTCTGTCTCTCTCCCTCTCCCCGCCCCCTCCCCCCCACGGTGAGGACTTTGAGCGGCCCCCCGGGCCGGCCCTCGGGATGTCATGTTAAACCGAGGTCACACAATAATCCTGGCATTTGATCCCACGCTGTGCAGAGTCTCAAAGTGTTTCACAGGATACAATAATAATAATAATCCTGGCATTTGATACAGCGCCTGATCACATCGGCGTCGACGTCTCAAAGCGCTTCACAGGATATGCTGTAAAGTGTAGTGACCGTATATTTTGTGGGTGAAACGAGGCAGCCAATTGCGAACAACAGTGAGTGTCCCACAAACAGTCCTGGATTGAGTGAGGGGATTATAACCCCTGGAAAAGCGATGTGGAGTAAGGAAACTTGGCCAAGGTTTTGTCTGCCAGGAATCGAACCCAGGTCCTCGCACCGGCCAGTCGAGACAACACAAGACGTCCCCCAGCGCTGCATTGGGCTGTCAGCTTAGGCAATGTGATTCCAAGTCCCAATGTGGGGCTTGAACCAACAACCTTCTGACTCAGGGATGAGAGACGAGAGAGAGAGAGAGAGAGAGAGCTGCCACTGTGCCCATTGACACACAGCCTCATTACCGGGACATCCTCCTGACATGAAAGGCTCTGTATGATTGTCAATTTGTATTGTGTTATTTAATAAATATAATGTCATTGTATAATCTATTCATAGTATATTTACTATGTGACTTCAACCACTACCTCCCGAAACTCTACAACTCTCTCCCTCAATCCCTCCCTCACTTTCAAATCCCACCCAAAGACCTTCCCTTGTGATGGTGCTTACGGTCCCCCCCCCTCCCCGTCCCCCCCCAGCTTGGTGTCAGACTCCACCACTGTCAAGCCGTGTAAATGCAAATTGTTGTTGTTTTTGCTTTTGCTTTCACATATAATAAACACCATAATCCAATAATATAATGTAATAAATAATAAAATCTATTATAACATCATTAATATATAATATTAATATCATACAATTCGTAATTAAAATAAGTCAATCTTTCTGTCTCTCCATTGCTGAGTTTCTATCTCTCTTCCCCTCTCTCTACCTCTCTCTCTCTCTCTCTCTCTCTCTCGTTCACTCTCACTCTCTCTCTGTCTCTCTCTATCACCCTCTATCTCTCTCTCTCTCTCTCTCTGTGTGTCTCTCAAGCAGCCCTTACTTCAGAGTGACCCACTGTGTGGGCTGTGTCCCTCCACGGAGAGAGAGTGAGTGTACGCTGTGTGCTGGATTGGGAACTCCCCGTGTGGATGTCTCGCTTTCAGTCTCATTTGGATATTCAGCACAATGAGCAGAACCAACATTTAACATTTGCAAAAACAATTCCTTGTTCCAGGAAACAGCTCCGACCTTTCCTGGGCCGAGGGCACAGCTGATGAGCAAAACTAAGTCACAAGACATCGTGGCACAGTGACAACTGATCAGATCCCACAGCACAGTCTGATTCATTGGCAGGACCTGGAATCCTCCCTCTCAGCTCCTGTTAACCCTGTAGCCAAAGCACTAACTAACTAACTAGTTAGCTAACTAACTAACTAGCTAACCAACTAGCTAACTAGTTAGCTAACTAACTAACTAGCTAAATAACTAGCTAACTGACTAAATAACTAGTTAACTAACTAGCTAAATAACTAGTTAACTGACTAACTAGCTAGCTAACTAACTGACTAACCAGATAACTAATTAACTAACTGACTGACTAACTAACTAATTAACTAGCTAACCAACTAGCTAACTGACTAGCTAACTGACTGACTAACTAGCTAAATAACTAGCTAACGAATCAACTGACTAACTAACTAGCTAACTAGTTAACTTACTGACTAACTAGCTAACTAATTAACTAACTAGCTAACCAACTAGCTAACTGATTAACTAACTAGCTAAATAACTAGCTAGCTAACCAGCTAACTAACTAGCTAAGTAACTACCGAATGAACGAACGAACAAATGGGGAGTGTGGTCCTCGCGGCAGTGACCGGTGGCACTGCTGTCTCTCTCTCTCAACGGCTGAGCTGTGGCTTCAGCTGATTAGTCTCCGGCAGTTACCCCATCGCACACTCTGGGGTCCTCCCCCCTCAGCCCCACACCCTCGGCTCTCGCCACCTGCGCCTAATACTCTCCAGAATTAGGTAAACAGGATGTGTCCCTCACTCAGAGAGAGAGAGAGAGAGAGCGCATCCCATTCCAACAATCTGTCTCTGGGATTTCCAGGTGTAGGTGGGAGACCGGGAATTCTCCGCCGGGTCTGGAGACTGTTAGTCACAGTGAAGGGTTTGTGTGGGTATCGGACATCGGCTGCTGATCAAAGCAATAAAATAATAAGATGGCCTCCATCGCTCAGCTTCCTGCGGCCACTCACACACAATGTGTTTCACTGAGACACACAGCACTGTGTTCCTGCGACACAGACCA